GGGAAAAAAAAAAAACACACTTGCACTGCTCACAAACCTGAATTTTGTGGCTCTTAAAAGGCTGAAAGCAGAGTATGAGCCCTTGGAACTCCCCTTGGTGCTAAACCTGAGCTGTTGCTGCAACTGGAAGTGGAAAGGGGAGTTCCAGCCTCCCCCAGCTCCCTCCAGCACCCCCCAATCCCTGATAAAGGGCAGTTTGGGCACACACAGGCTGTGCCCTACGCAGCAAACACTGAGCCCCTCGCCATGGAAACAGGGTTGGTTGGCTTCATTCAAAAGTTTATTCCTTTATCAAACCTCTTCTGGGAGGGTTTCGCTGTACATATGAGATAGGAATAAATTACTCAACAGTAACTTTATTCTGATCATTCAAATACTCAAAACGGGCTCTGCAAAGTACTAAACATCCAGGGAACTAAACTAGAAATGAGATTAGTTTAAAGTGTTCTAAGAAAAGACTTCGGTCGTGGGGGGGGTTTTGCTTGTTTTTAACAGGCAACATGGGAGAAAAAAAAAAAACCTCTTGGGAGTTTTTCTTCCTGGAATAACAAATATTGGTCGTTTTAGCTGTGGTCACCAGAAGTATAACCCAGAGTGGTGGGAATGTAAGTTAAATAACCAGACCAGCTCTCTTGCTCCCCTCAGCATCACACGGTTTGGTGAACAATAAAGTGATGCCACGGGGATCTGGATCTGTGGGTTAGGCCGGCGGGGCTGCACAGGATTTGCAGTCGCCTCACCTTGATGGAATTCCTTAAATAAAAAAAAAAAGGTTTAATTTTAAGAAGTCGGGGCTGGACATGGTCTCCTCTTCCCAGGCAGGAGGGTAAAGTCAGCACTTAATTGGGACAGAATTGATAGAAACAAGCTGGAAAAAAACCCCATCGTACAGCTGGCAGCTCTCCCCTGTGTGTGCCCAGAGGAAACACTGCTGAGCTCAGTCCCAGCACCACACTGGGACAGTTTGAGGAGTTTGGGAACAGCCTGGGGCACCACTGAAGGGGGAGCAGGAGAGAAGGGGGAAGAAGGAAGGACAATATACATACACACATGGCTCAGGGTATCCCAAAGCCCTGAGTGTGCCAGGCAGGAGAGCCTCACCACTGTGGACACCTCTCACAGACTCTGCCCTGCACTGGGGTGTCCCCTCAGCGTGGCTGAGGCCGTGGACACCAACTTAAAAACCAGGATATCAAAATCAGCAGCAGGAGAGGAGAGCTGGAGTGGCTCGGACACGAGGAAGAAGCCACGGGGACGGCTCAAAGACAAGGACAAAATTAAAAAAAAAAAAAATCCAAAGCCAGGCTCGCTCTTGGAACTCACCATCTCTCAGAAAGAAAAATGACACTCTCAACGCACAGCGAGTCCGGGAGGGCAAAGTGGGAACTGGGAGTTTATTGAGCCTCTGCCAGAGGGTCTGGGGGCGGGAGGAGCAGCCCCCTGCTCCCACGGGACAGGAGCTCCGGCCTCGCTCCCGGCGCATTCCCTGCGGCACCTCGGGGACCGTCCTTGCTTTGTCAGTCGCTCGGTCAGAACCTTCCACGTTACGGTTTACAAGGAGGGAAGGGAAGGATTACAAGGTGGAGTTTCATCAGGACAGGCTCGCAGCGAACCTCCCTCGTGCCAGGCCCGGCAGCGCAGCGTCCTCCCTCCCGCCGAGCAGCCCCGTCCCGCGCGGGGCCCGGCTCATCTCCCGGGAGACGTCGGACGCCGGCAGGTCACGCCAGCCCAAAAAAAAATAGCGGGACACGTGTGGTTTAGAATCCGTATTTGGCCTGAGTCTGCCGTCTGCTGAGCTTGTTTTCGGACCATGTGTTTTTCAGTTCCAGCTCTCTCTCCTTGGCCTGCAGACACGGAGAGGATGCTGTTAACGCTCTGTGTTTCAGTGACTCAGCAGCATTCCGGCCTCCTCGCGCGGATTACGGAGCCCTTCGGCCAGAAGCCTCGTTACAGGAGTTCACACAATCATCCTGACAGAGGCCTGGATTAACTGGGCTGCATGGGCATTTCATTCATGCTGAAATGCAGCTTCTCTTGTGGGACGGGCTCGGCAGCCGCCTGACAAGCCCGGGGTGGAATATGGACGGGATCCCAGGGCTGGGGAACACGTGTGGGGAGGGGGAAGCGAAGCTGCCAGCTCAGGGCTGGGACCCCCTCAGGGCCAGGACACACCTCTGGCCCCACTGGAGACACGGCACATCCCACCCAGGGCTCAGACAGCTCCTGGTCTGGTCCCACTGTGGGTCTCACCCTGGCCTCAGAGTATTCCCAGGGATATCCCCTGGTCTCCAGCTGCTGGAACAGCAGCTCCACCGCCCCCCGGCCTTGTGCTGCCAAGCCTTGAAATTCCACCTGGATTGGCTCCCACGCCAGGGGAAGCCACTCACCTGATGGATCAGGTACGTGATCTGGTGTTTTCTCCTTTGCTGTCCCGTGGGCTGATCTCCTTTTTTCTGGAAAGCAAAAAGAGGTGAAGCGTTCAGCCTGGAGAGACACTGCTGGACAGCAGAGCAAGGCCAGGGCCTGCACACAGCCATCCCAGGCACCATTTGTTCCCTATTAAATAGCACATTCCTTCGTCTGAAGCAGTTCCTGGCTGGTCCTCACCACCCACACACCATGCTCTGAGCTCTCCTGATCTGTCACATGTCACCATTTACCAGGGTCCCTTGTCCTGTGACTGCCCAGAATCCAACACAGCTCCAGCTGGGCCCGATTTGGGCACTGAGCAGAGGTCCAAACCCCAGCCAGCTCCTGCCCTCCACCCCACCTTGCTGAAGGACTTCATGGTCTTCTCCTCCGTCAGGGACTTGGTGAGCCACTGCTGGGCCCCGCTCAGCTGGTCGTCACCTTTGATATCCACAAAGTTGATCTCCTCCCTCCCACGATTCCGCTTGCCTTGCAGACGCTTGAACTGAAGGGAGAACAGAACAGCTGGAATTACACTCCCCCCATCACACCCTGATACAAGGTTGAGGGGCTGAGCCCCTGCTCCCCACAGCGAGGGACAAGGCACAGCAACGAAGTTTTCCAGACAGGATTTTTTATCTTCAGGAGATTTCTGCTTTGCTGTAGATTGGAGTATCTAAAGCTGTTCAGCATGAAGGTTATCATCTCATTTTCCTATGCAGCCATTTATTTCTCCTTCCAGCCTTGCTCAGGACACCCCCAGAGTCCTGAGGCTCTTGCTTTAAAAGCCAGGGAGGTACCTGGCCTGTACCAGCCATAGTGTGGCCACATGGCCACAGGCAGTGATTGTCCCCATGCTGGGCACTGATGAGGCCTCACCTTAAGTCCTGGGGTAAGTTTTGGGCCCCTCATCACAAGAAAGATGTTGAAGGCCTGGAACGTGTCCAGAGAAAGGAATGGAGGTGGGGAAGGTTCTGGAGCACAAGAAGGGTCTGGGGAACTTCTGAGGAGTAGCTGAGGGAGCTGAGAGGACTTGGCCTGGAGAAACAGCAACTCAGGGGGGACACTCTCAGTCTGTACAACTCCCTGACAGGACAGTGGAGCCACGTGGGGATCGTGCTCTGTTCCCAGGGAACGAGGGACAGGATGAGAGGAAATGGCATAAAGTTGTGCCAGGGGAGGTTCAGGTTGGATACAGGGAAAATCCCTACACCCAAAGGGTTGTCCAGCTCTGGCACAGGCTGCCCAGGGCAGTGGTGGAGTCACCATACCTGGATGAATCTAACAGCTGTGTGCATGTGGCATGTGGGGACAGGGTTTGCTGGTGGCCTTGGCAGTGCTGGGGGAACAGTTGGACTCCATGATTTTGGAGGGCTTTTCCAACCCCAAACAATTAATTCTATTCCCTTCAAGCCTGCAGACCCGCCTGGAGCAGCAGCTCAGAAGACTGCGGGGAAGGACTCACATGCCCACACCACAGCACGAGACCCCCAGGGAACAACAACCAGCCCGGCCCAACCCAGGGGAAGCACAGGAGCGTGCTGTGGGGGCAGGACCGTGGCTGCCAAGTGTCCTGGGGGGAGCTCAAAGCCAAATTCCACAGCAGGACAGACAAAGTGCCAACCGCTTCGTCGTCGATGAAGGAGGAGTCGGTGCTCGTCTCCTGCGGCGGTGCCTGGGCTGGTTCCACCTCCGGGTAGTACCCGCTGCTGTAGTAATCCTGGCAGGAAAAGGGAAGCCAGTTGGTCACGAGAGCGAAGCAGGAGGGATCCTGCCCGTGGGCTGCTGCTTTTTCACCCCCTCGGAAGGACTTCATCAGAGGTACAAACCAACAAATGATTTGAGGGGCTTTTCTCAACAGGCTGGAGTGACAGGACACAGGGAATGGCTTCCTACTGACAGAGGGCAGGGTTAGATGGGATACTGGGAAGAAATTGTTCCCTGTGAGGGTGGTGAGGCCCCAGCACAGGCTGCCCAGAGAAGCTGTGGCTGCCCCATCCCTGGAAGAGTCCAAGGCCAGGTTGGACAGGGCTTGGAGCCACCTGGGCTAGTGGAAGGTGTCCCTGCCAATGGCAAGGGGTGGAACAAGATGAGCTTTAAGCTCCCTTTGAACCCAAACCAGCCTGTGATTTTATGAATTTCTAGAAACAATGTGGGCTCAGATACCAGCTCTGGTGAGCCCCAACTCTGCACCCTCACACCAGGGACATTTTCACAGGAGTGCAGCTGTCCAACATCTGTCCAGCAAAGAACATCTGCAGCTCTTGTGTCACAGGAATGCCCCTTGTGCCCAGTGCTGGGGATCCCTGCTGTGTTCTGGCCAGCTCGCAGAGGATGGAATTTCCTGCTCCATGTCCTGGTCAGTTTTTAAAGGTTGGACTCCCTACTCCATGTCCCACATATCTCACATGGGCTGGACTCCCTGCTCTGTCCTGTCCACTCACATGGGTTGGTTTCCCTGCTCCAAGTCTCTACACCATGTCCCAGCTAGGCTGGATTCCCTGCTTCGTGTCCCAGGTAATCCACGTAGGTTGGATTCCTACTGTGTCCCACTCAGCTCACATAGGATGGATTCCCTGTTCCATGTACTGGCCACCTCACAGAGGCTGGATTCCTACTCCATGTCCCACCCAGCTCAGAGGTTGGATTCCCTGCTCCATGTCCCACATATCTCACACAGGCTGGACTCCCAGGAGCAGTTGCTCCAGTAAGTACCTCCAACCCCTCACCCAATACCTGTCCAGATCCCCTCCAGTCAGTGAACCCACCTGGTAGTAGGCTCCGGGCTCGCCATAGGTGGGGTGGAACTGGCCGTAGGGGTGGTTGCCGTAGTCCTCGCCGGGTTTGGGTGCCCAGCTGTGCTGGGCCCCGCTCGAGCCCGCGCCCGTCTTGAACTCCAGCGGGGCGTTGGCGGCCGCGTCCTGGAACTGGGGCTCGGGCTCTGTGCCGGGCGGCGGGTCCTCCGCGCCCGCCGTGCCGGGGTACAGGTAGGGCTCGGCGCCCGCGGCGCTGGGCTCGCTCCTGTCGGACAAGGAGAAGTAGTTCTCTGGCTCCAGCTCCTCGTCGCTGTCCTCCTCCTCCTGCGTGATCTGCTTGGTTACCTGCAGCGCCGCGCTCTTGGCCGCGGCTTTGATGGCCGACGGGGACGGAGTGGTGGGCACGGCCGGTTTGGAGGCGGGTTTGGCTTTGGAGGAGGAAGAGGTGGGGGCCTTGGCGGGCTTGGAGTCGGAGCCGTCTCCCGCCTTCCTGGAGAAGGCGTAGGGCAGGAGTAACCGGTTGGTCTCTTTCACTGTCAGGTTTTTGGGCTGAGGGAGCAGAGCGGACAAGCCGGAGCCCTCGCCGCGTCCCTGGGGAGGTCCGTGCAGGACAAGTGGATCACGGGGATAAGAGAAAAGAGTCAGACTATTCGCTTTTCCTGATTACCTGCTGATTATCCCCCCCCTCAGTTCTTACAATATTCCTGGGTTTCCCAACATTTGGCCACCCTGAACACGCTGCACAAAAGGCTGGGGGCACTTTGAAGGGAAACGCAGAACTGGCGAATATCTGTCCAATTCCCAACCTGATGCCTCTTTCTCCAAGATTTAAACTGCCCAAAAAAGGGACTTGACACCCCATGGGATTTCAGGAATATCCCTAAAGCCATGAGCCGCTCAGAGTGGCTGATTCACAGGAGTGGAAGGCCAAGACTGGTCACAGTCAAACACTTTTTCCCATGACACTTGTTTAATCGAGCGCCCTCGGTATTTACCTGAAGAGTGTTTTTCTTCTTTGCTGGTTCATCTTCCTCTGAATCTGACTGAGAGAGAAAACCAGAGCTCAGCAAAACCTGAGATACTAAAAAAGTGTTATTAATAAATCCCAGGAAAATAAACCCAAGAACTCCAGGGGCACAGCAGCAGGTCAGGGCTCTCCTTCAGAGGGACAGGCAACAATGGAGCACAAATCACACAAAGGGTGTAAAAGTCACTGCAGGGACACAGGGAATTTTTCCCAATAATGTTGGAACTGCTAAATATCCAGTTAAAATTTGAGTGAAAGGCCTGGTTGGCATCAGAAAAGGCCCTCAAAATCTTTATGGCTTCATTGCTTCGCAGGGGACTTGGAAGAGGCGACAGGAATCGAGGGCTTGTGCCAGCTTATCCCCAAATCATAAACCAGGGAAAGACAAGGAATGTGTGTAAATAAAAGGAGTCAGGAGAGACCATAAACCCACGTGTTGGTTTGGGAGAGAGGAGACACTGCAGCTGCCCTGGAGCATCTCCACGGGATGAACTACAGGAATGGGAGGGATTTTAAGGAGAAAGAGGGAACAACCAAGGATGTTAGTCACAGGCCCAGGGCCTTCCAGGAATCCCAAGTTCCAGTTTAAGGTACTTTCTGTCCCTTCAATGTTCATTCACTCACAGGACATCAATGACCTGTGGGATTTGTGGTCAGAGCCCACACACTGGAGCATGGACTAAGGGAAGAACAAATCCCTGTTCATTCCAGCTGCCACCTATCCCCAGGGAAATGACTCCAAGCTTCCAGTTCAGCTCTTCCTACAGCCACAGGTGCTCCTGTCACACCAGAACGAGCGACACCACTCTGTGTGAGGCTGGACAGGACTCTGGGCAACCTAGGCTAGTGGAAGGTGGCCCCTGCCTGTGGAAGGGGGTGGGATGGGACGAGTTTTAAGGTTTCCAACCCAAACCACTTTGAGATTCCATGTGCTGGTTTAGATTAGGATGTTGGGAAGATATTTTTGGCTACCAGGGTGGGGAAGCCCAGGCACAGGTTGCCCAGAGCACCTGTGGCTGCCCCATCCCTGGAAGTGTCCACCTAGGTTGGACGAGGCTCTGGATGAACTTTAAGGTTCCTTCCAACTCAAACCATTCCAGGCTTCTGTGACAGTGTTGTCCCAGAGGGAACGAGCAGCAGGGAGAGGATGGAGCCTGATCAATGGGAACCCTCAGTCAAAAATCACACGGGCAGAGGGACCTGCCTGTCCCTGCTTTCACTGTCTGGATTCAGGAGCCCCATGTGGCACAGGGCACTGTAAACACCAAAAAAAGCACAAGCTGAGAGGGAAATGGTCACCTAAAAGTCTGGAAGTTGCCTGAAGCCTTTAGAGAAATAAGTAATAAATTGGCAGGAAAACCTATCAACTGCACAGCAGGCAAGAGAGATTTTTTTGGGCTACAAGGCCCTGCAGCTCCACACCATCAACTCGTTAACTCCAGCAGTAAAGAAGGGTGCAGATAATCTGGGTTTTGCTGCATTATGATTATAAATAAGGTTTCTATATCAGTTTAATTCTGCAAAGCGCTTTAGGATTAGGGCAGGCAGCCAGGACAACCCTCCCCGTGGATGCCACAACAGATCTCGGTGTGCCACGGTGGGAGAGAGCGAGGGGAAGAGACCCACGGCGGGGCGGGGAGGTTGGACCCCCGAAGGGCTCGACCGGAGCGGGGGTTGATGTTCGCTCCATACTCACATCTCCCTTGTGCAGCTCGGGCGCCGCGATCCGCACCGGCTCCGTCCTCTTCTTTGGCTTGGGGAGGCCCAAACCCGCGCCGGGGGCGGCCGGGCCGGGCGGGCCGAGGGGGGAGGCGGCGGCCGCCGCGTTCCTGGGGGGCGGCAGGAGGAGCCCTCTCGGCCTGGGGGGCTCCGCGGCCCCGTCCCCGCTGTCGGCCGGCTCGGGCGGGCTCTCAGCCCCGGCCTGGCCCGGCGCGGCGCTGCCGAAGCCCCTCACGGCGGGCGGGGGGCCCATGAGGAACGGCGGGGGCACGGCGGGGGTTCTGGGCGGGGGCAGCGCGGCGAAGAGCCCCCCCCGGGCCGGGGGCTGCTCTTCTGCGGCCGGAGGGGAAGCGGGGGCTTCCTCCTCCTCCTCCTCGGCCGCGGGCTCCTCCGCATCGCTGTCCTCCTCGCTGCTGGCGTAGGCCACGAGGGACATGGCCCCGGGGAGGGCGGCCCTCGGCGGGCAGCAGCCGCTACGCGAGGCCGGGGATCCGCCCCTCCGCGCTAGGCCGCGCCGCCGCCGCGCCTTCAGCGCCCGCGGCGGGGAAGAAGGGGCGGCCTAAGGGGAGGCTACGCCGCCATGGCGGCCCCTCTCCGTGCCGGCGGCGGGGCCGCGGAGCTCGGCGAGGCGGCGGCGGCGGCTCCGCGCTCCCCGCTAATGGCTGCCGGCAGCGCCCCGCTCCCCGCGCCGCGGCGGCGCCGGACTACAACTCCCGGCGTGCTCCGCGCGCGGCGCCCGGCCCGCCTCCCGGGGCGGCGCCGCCGCGAGGCACCACGGGAAATGTAGTCTGAGGCGCCACGCGGCGGGACCCCCTGGGCGGGACCGGTATCGGTACCGGAGGAGGGGGATGTGGAACTGGGGTGCCCCGGGGGGGACGGGACCCGACAGGGACGGGGACGAGGATGAAGATGGGGATGGGGAGACGGGAGGGCCCGCCCCGCCCCTGCCAGGCCGCGCAGTTCATCGCCAAACTGCGGCTCCCGGTGTGTCCCCAGCGGCCGGTGCGGTGTCACTGGGACACGGACCGAGGGGGCTGGGAGGCTCTGCCTGCTTCCCGTCCTTTCATCCCGGTGTCATTCCGGGGTAGGATCAGCCTAGGGGCTGCTGGAGCGGGATGCAGGAGCTCCCGGGCCGGGATTCCCGAGCAGCCGGTTTATCCCTCCAGCACCCCCGCTGACAATCGGTTTGACTCCTTTGACCTCCTTCTGGCTTGTTCTGGCCTTAATAAGCAGAGAGCTGGGCTCGAATTTGGGTCCCCGACACCCAGGGAAGCGATTTGCAGAGGCACTGCACAAAGTAATTAAAGCAAAATGGAGGTGAACGAGGAGCAGCGTGTCCTGAAAGCCTCTGTCGTTTGGAATGGTGTGAAATGCAGCCAACGCGCCCTGTGCCACCCCTCCTGCCCTGCCCTGGAGGGCTGAGGAGTGTTAAAAATACAGTATTAAAAATAGGCACGGAGGCCTCGGGGGGCGGAGGGACGGGCATGGGAGGCTGCGGGGAGCTGGGACACCGGAGTTACGTTTTCCCCCCACTCTTTCCACGGGCGAGACCCGGTAGAGGGCAAAGCCAAGTGATCCCAGCACAAGGACACCGAGGAGGGAGAGGAGGAGGGTGCCCCTGGCAGGGCTGGGCTGGCTCACAGAAGGTCCCATCTGCACCAGCCTCTCTTCAGGAACCCTTTTCCCTGGAAATGTGGGTTCTGTGACCACCAGAAACAGTGAGACGTCGCCTTGGCTGTGTGACACAGTGTGGCCACTTGTAGGGTGAACCCCTCGTCACAGGGGTCTGAACCCCAAAGAGTGTCATGGAAGTGTCCAAGCCCTTTCCCTTCACAGCTCTGCCCACGCACTCTCCAAATCCAATGGAAACCTAGACACAGATGGGGATTTTTGTGGGATTTTTTATGGATCAGGCCTCCCATTGCTGTCACTTCCCCAACAAAACATCCCTTGGGCTCATACAGAGTCTTAGTTTGGGCTGGAAGTGACCCTAAAGATCATCTCTTTCTAATCTTCTTGTCACCCTGGGGATGGGTTGGGATCACCCCAGTGGATTTTTTTTTTCCTCCCTGCTCCTTCCTAAGCACCTAGATTTGTAAATTTTTTAGGATTTAGGAAAGGGAAACAGGCGATTCCTCGAGAAGCACAGAGTGGTTCCACCACCCTGAGCTCCGATGCGAGGCCACCCTCATCCTCTGCCAAGGAAAATCAACAAGGACCCTGCTGGGGAGAGGAGGGACCCGGTTTAAACAAGGTCCAGCTCCTGCTGCGCAGAAAGAGGGAGGAATCTTTGTTCCCCTCGGCATTTTTCCATTTTTCTGTTGAAGGTAGAGATTCCTCAGGCCTGGTCTCACCCCGGGCAGCAGGATCCTGCTGTCAGCTGTGACCCCGAGGATTATTTATTTGTGTTACTTTTGCGGCTCGTTGGGAGAAATGAAGCCAAGGAAAGCAGGCAGGGATGGAAGGAAAGGAGCCCAGCCCTGGAACCCCGACTGCCAGGTCAGGGTGGAGGTTCTGGTCTTGGAAAGGGCTTAAATCTGGGTTTAATTTAATCCCAGG